TAACCAAAATTTGACTGACTAGACGATATGACTTTACGTTAAAGCCAGATCACTGTATATCCCAACTCGTCTAATAGTGAAAACCAAGGACAAATGTGGGAGATCGTAAACGCCCATTAAAAAACTATAACCAGCTGCATGCAGCCCAGCTGAAGCCTCTTTGAATTCGTTATGATCCAAAAGCATCAGTGTACATACCGCTCAGAGTAAGATACCAGGTTATATTCTATCTTCCTTACAAAAGTGATATAAATTGGTCGTCATTCCTGAAAGAATTTTCTCTCAGCAGCAAACATCGAAGACTTAAGAAACCTCTTGTTCAATGTATGCATAACTTGCTTATTTCTTGTGTGATAACTGCTCTACAGACTAAGATAGAGTGAACATGATTCACAGGCCCGATCTTTTCCAAACTATGCAATCATCTACAAAACTCGATTTTTCTTCACTGAAGTTAACAGGATGCATATGGGCTGGAGATGGTTAAATTTTGGGGTATCACAGGAATGCGTACTGGGGTCTCCACTATCTCTAAAACCGATCAACGAACAACAATAAGATATCAGCCAATTAGCCCAAGACCATTTGCACGACTTCAGGCCGTGGAGAACCGGCAAATGATCATACAACTCACAAGAGCTCTGAAGATACTTAGTTCAATTCGCAGTGTGAACACAACGCAGTAAATTGAAATTCAACTCCTAGAAATGTAAAATGATGCTTCAATAAGCTACGCAAAAGTAACAGACATCTCCCTCTGCAGTCACTTGATGGATCATGTTTTGTCGGTATAAACAAACAACAATCCAGTAAATGCAAGTAATGTTAATAATTTCGCCATTTACTTTAAAGGCAGCTAGAAATACTGTCTAATAATTGCTTTTAGAAAATATTTAAGAATCACATTCGTTCACGTCTGGAAACCCATGATATTGTTGCACATTTTCTACACAGTTGTGGTGTTAGATACTGCAACATGTATGAAGTTATAGGTTAGGGAAATAAATCCCAAGGTAATTGTTCTGACTGAAATATAGGAGAAAAGTATGAAGTCTACTAATTGTGTATAGCAGGCTTATTGCCCCATGTCATTTCCATAAAAACATATGACTTGAATACCGATACGGACCAGGGGCTAGCAATACCCGGGACTTCTTTTTTTCGCAATCATAGAAAAACAGGAATTAATACTGAAGTAGACTTATACTTACGATCCTGCCTAGAGGTACATCAAGTGAGCAACCAAGGGTTTGTCAATCCTGATGAATCAGTATGATACTTAGTAAAATTGTCTACCATCTCGAGGTGTCTAGTTGGAGTCATCTACAGGAAGCTTATTGCTGACATCGAGTACGACAATCCCATGCTGGGAGGATTATCCCGCTTTAATAGTCTCGGATTCACTCATATCCCGATTCAAGGGTAATTTATTATTCTTATAATTAATTTCGCGGAACATACGCATATTGGAGGTGAAAAATCCACTAAAGCTCGGTTCTGCAACCTCACTGAAAATCAGGGATTATTCGGAAATGTGATGTCGACAACACGTTGAAGGAACAGTCAGACAATGTCGAGCTTAAACTTCGTATTAGCGAACGAAGATTTTCTAGTTGACAACTTCTCAATCCTGGCTTATCTGGGGAGAAGCGATCATGCCATCGTAGCCTTGAGTCTTATCAGCAAGATTGAGCTAAGACATCCCACCAGCAACAGGCACTGGAATTTTAAACTGTTGAATGTGTCAGCCGTACAGGACAATCTAAAACAGTTGGATTGGGAAAATTTCCCTCAACTTGATGTGGGTGTTCATAGGGATTTCTTCTTGAACACGATCTTACGTGCTGCAAAGCAGTCTGTTCTTAAAATGGTCCTCGAAATCTACGAGCAACCTACAGTCATCAAGAACCGCACTCTTTGTTCGCTAAGCCTGAAAAGTCACTGTTGGGCGGGATACAAACGAACTTATAACAACGACGAGTACAGACAGTACAAACAAATAAGGAACATATGCAAAAAGGCAATTAGAGGAGACATGCTTCAGTACCAGATAAAGCTCATCGACAAATTTGTCTCCAGTCCGAAAAGTTTATTCCGTTATGTAGCCTCTCTTCGACAAACCAAAACAGAAGTTTCCCAACTGCTAGGTCCTAATGGCTCGACCAATAACTTAACCTTCTGGCTGAACAGTACTCTCGGACATTTCAACCGACCCATATTAGCTATGTTGATGAAAGTTTCATCTGCAACTGTACATGACTTTCCGAAGTGAGCCTCAGCTCTGACGTGGTGTACAAGAAACTGCATCACCTGAGAAAATACACTTCTGGTCCGGCTATGGTTGACTATGCTATATTGAAGGAATCAGCTTCAATCCCAGCTACACCACTTAGCGTTGTGCTCTCACACACTCTAAGCCGAGGCAAACTACTGGAAATTTGGAAGCTGGCTCACATCACACCAATTTTCAAAAGAGGACGACGCAACAAACCTTCATGCTATAGACCGGTGGCTCTTCTCTCTATGCCCTTAAGAATTATTTAGTCCCTGATATGTGACGGTATACGCGACTATTTATTATCCTTACACATATTTTCACCCCGTCATCATGGTTCCAGGAAGGGTCATTCTTGTGCAACAAACCTGCTGACTGCGGTAGACAGGTGGGCAACCATCCTTGATCGCAAAGGGAAGGTTTAGTCATTTACCTTGACTTTTAAAAAGCTTTTGATAGGCCCAACCATATATGTCTTAACAATAAGCTCAAAGGATTGGGTATCAAGTCACCTTCAATTGATTGGCTCAGTTCATCTCTAAAATATCGACATTTTAGGCCAGGGTTAACGTCACTTTCTGTCAGGCTACGAATGTCATAGTGGGGTTGTCCAGTATTTAGTATTGGACCTCTTCTTGTCTTGATTTATATAAACGACCTTCTAAAACAAATGTCGTCTGACTTACTACTTTTTGCTGATGATGTGAAACTTTTAAAGAGATGCGCAACCAAGAAGACACACTTGAACCGCAGGAGAATCTGTCTCGCCTTCAAAGCTGGGTAGGCAACAACGAATTTATCTTCAGCACTTCAAAGTATAAAGTATTACATCTGGGAAATATTGCGGACAATGAATACAAATAGGTATCTAGACTCTAGAAGCATCCTAAGCTACAAGAGTGTTGGCACCCAGTGACCCGAAGTCTTGCGCTAACTGCAACGAAAATGCCATCCAGAAAAGCCGTTCACTGTAACGTTGAAGAGCATATTTGTTCGGTTTTGCGGTAGAACTTTCCACATGATCTTCAACAGTTTTATTCAACCCCATTTAAAGTGCGGAAATATGGTGCTTCCTGACTTACTCCAAGAGGATAAAGACACTCTGGAGAGTATTCAACGGCAAGCCACGACATCAGTCCGGAGATTCAGTTTCAGGCCTTATAAAGAGTTCCTCCAATCACTAAATCTTTAGCCATTAGAGTACAGTCGTCGTGGTGACCTTCTAACGGCTTACAGTGTCCCTGACATTTCCGGACATCCGCTTAAACATCTACTTAAGTTCGGCTCCAACACACACTTATGAGGTAGCAGCCAGGAACTGGAGACACAACACAGAAGAACGGACTGTAGACACAACTTCCATTCTTTAAGAAAAATGAAATACTGGAATTCTGCTGCTACTGAACATGGGAGCCTGTCAATCGAAAGCTTCTTCTATTCCATCCACAACCATTTGAACCATTTGTACTGAGATTTAGATGGTGGTTTGAGGTAGTCAACAGGAAACCCTGGATCCAGGTTTCGTGCTACTTGGCACTCGTCAGCAAGGTGTATCTGTCATCTTGAGGGAACTGATGCTCCCTGGCGGATTCGATCTCGTGTCACCCAGCTTCACAGTCAGAGACGTTACCACTGAGCTATTCGAGCCGTGACTGAACCATTGGTACCTCGTGAAGCAAACCTTGACGAACAGTTTATCAATGAGCAAGTACGTCTAAAATCAAACTTTGTTCATAACGGGTCATTCCTGTCTCAAACGCTTTTCCAGACCCTCAAGTGGAAACTAATAAAAGAGGGTTTCACTAACCATGCCCAGTCTGAAGACTGAATCCCGGAAAACCGTCCAACCAAATCCAGTGACAGAGAATTATGTTTTGCACTTATTGCCCTGTGTGATAAATGTCTTTCAATTTATTCATTATTGTTATTATACGCCCATTTTGAATGCGTAGAACCAACACTTATTTATTTCTGACTGACGAATAAAAGATTTTAAATGCCTGAATATGGGTAATATAGAACATTGAACGAAATACAATAGAAACGACTCGGCAACAAAAACAAAAGTTATGGACTCAACTCTTGATAGTCTTCTAGGACCATCAGAAGTTGGTAGAACCGCTGAAGATCCGAAATCGACAGCAATTATTTACTTGGAAAAAAATGGAATTTTGAGGCTTATGCAAGTATAATTCATCTAACAAATTTTCAGATAACCAAGAAACTTGTTTACGAAATAGCTTTATTTCAGCCAGACGACCCTATTCAATACATGATAGACCATGTAGAAAATATTAGGGATCACATAGACTGCTAGAAAACATACACTCATTCGTCCACCACTGGGCTTTGAGTATTGACATACGAACATTCAAGTCGTTTTTGCTCTGTGGTAAGGAGTTCATCATATAGCTATCAAAATACCTCTTAAACTAGAAATTTATGAACGTAAAAATACCTCGTATTTTGAGTTTTTATGAGCAAACTACAAGTAAATTAATCAGATCACTTGAATATGAAATTATATTTTCCGTATATAATCATATATATCCTGAATATCTCCTGTTTTTATTTGGTCAAAGAACCTTTGTCCGTAGATTAATTACAATTTACTCAGCTAACCAGTTCTTCGTGCCAAAGACGTAGAGCAATGTACCTCATGTTATGTAATATAGAAGTTATTAACCTGTGTGTCTCGCTGTTCTGTGAAATATAAATAACAGTGGGGCTTAGTAGCTCACCGATTATTTTTTGTAAAAAGAAACATCGCACTCAAGCAAAAACTGCATTTACTTAAGCAGAATTCATCGATACCATACTTTATGGTTGATCTCGGGCAAAACTTCGGCTAATTCGAAAGCAGGTAATAGAAATGAATAATTTCAGATTGATATTTGTGTAGTAAGGACAGAAGGCCTACGGCCTATGTTATTCATTTTCTAGTATGCTTCTGTGAGTGTCCAGTCTTCTCTTGAAAGTGTCAATTGAAGGTGCAGACACCACTGCTTCAGCAGCAGGTTCCAAGTATTGATGACTCGGTATGAAAACCTGTATGCCACTGGTATTTTGTTCGTTCTTGGTTTTTCTACTCGCGTGCTATGTCCTCTGAGATGTCCTGATCTAGTGGGAGGAAAAAGAGAGAATGAGTCAGGTCCAAAATCATTTCTCAGTATTCTGTACATCAAAATTAGATCTCCCCTCAGTCTGCGATAGGACAGAGTAAAGAGGTCCAGCTTTTCAGGCCGCTCTTTGTACGGTAAACCCCGGAGTTCTGGAATTGCACGGTTAACTGCCCTCTGTACTTTTTCTAGGATATCCGAGCCACCTTTTAAACAGGGGCTTGCAGTCTGAACGCAGTTCTCAAGCTTAGTTCTCACTAAGGATGTGTATACTGTGGTGAACATGGTAGTATCTAACTTAGTGAATGTCCGTTTTAAAGCCCAGAGGGTCCGAAATCCCTTAGCTGCGACCTCCTGGCAATGGGCCGTCATCTTAAGATCATGATCCACTGTCACCCCTAGATCTTTATGAGATCGGACTACTGGTAATGAAACATCCCCTATGTTGTATCTATTAACCTTTGAATTTCCAAAGTGCATGTAGACACACTTTTCCGCGTTGATAGGCATCAGCCACTCTTTAGACCAGTTTATCATATTATCTAGGTCTTCCTGAAGAGTAAATGCGTCTTTGTCTCCAGTTATTACTCGCCAAATGTTTACATCGTCAGCATATAATAAAATTGGAGACTGTACTATACTAAGATCATTAACGTACATCATAAAAAGTGAAGGACCTAGGACGGAACCTTGAGGCACTCCACTAAGTACTGGTCTCCAGGTGGAGCACTTGGAATTTATTCTTACTTTCTGCCTACGACTTACTAGGAAATCTTTAATCCATTTTAAAAGAGATCTGGCAATACCAAGGTTTTCCAACTTCAATAGCAGTCTATTAGTTGACACCTTGTCAAAAGCCCTACTGAAATCTATGTAGACAACATCCACTGAGTTTCTGTTGTCTATGATGTGAAACCCGAATAATTAAAATGTATGTATATATAGATTCTTTTTACACGCTTGACAAACTCTAATAATTTTACCAATATTTCGAAAGGATATATGAACTATAATTGGAATTTGTGCTATACAAAGCTCGTTCATTTTACCAAATCTTTACGGCCTTTGTAAGACAGAATATGGTCGTTTATTTGTGACAGTATTGCCTCAACATTTAAGATTTAGACGCCAGTTATTAAACCGATGAAATAAAGTCTATGAAAGATTATTGTAAGCCTTACAGTGTTCAATCATTCGTGCAGATGCTAGTCCATGACTGCATGAACCGTATATAAATAGGTAGTTCTTCAGTATTGATTAGATTGTAATGCATAGGCGCCTTAGAGTGACGTCAAAAACATCCTTGATCATTTCCTAAATCACATTAAGTACGCTCTAGTCATGGCTGTTCGCGATACAATATTCGTCAGCACCACGTGCTTTCCATAACTTACCACACTACGTCGTACTTACTTTGTACTCGTAAAAACAAAGTGCTAATCGACTTCAAGCATCTTAAGAACAAATACAAACACTGTTGACTTATCTTGTAATACAGTACAAACCATCCTTCATTACATTTGGCGTTTCCTGTAAAAATCTATTGTTCATTATTTTTAATCTGATTTGTTTAGCCCATAACGTATATGATCACCGACAAAGTTATTCATAAAAGATGACATCCATATCAAAGTATGTTCAAGAAGCTGTTGCACAGTAATAATATAATTTAACAAGTTGAGATGAATAATGTCTGTAAACTGGGTTCCATTCAGCGTCCTTAGGATCCAAAGTAATCATACAACCTGTAAACAGTTTATGTGAAGATACTGCCGTCATTCAGTGATAGCTTCACTCTCTTACCACTCAAAGGTGTCGGTGTACCATAATTTTGACAGTCATATGCTCAAACCGTAGATAAGAAACAAATAATATTTACACTACGTACTTTCAAAGACGTCAACATTTTATTTGGTGTATTCTCATTGCATGTTAATGCATGTATTGAGAACAGAGCATACTGGTGCCACTTGAAGACGAACTATGATGAACATTTTTTGAAAATCATGGTATATCAGTACCAATATAATTTCTGGTGACCAGTGGAAATGAAATAACTTCGTAACTTTTAGATTTGGCAGGAAAGTCCTTCATAAGAATGATAAACTTAAAATCTGAGATGCAGGGAAAAGTTAAGATGAAATAAATCATGAGGAATACAATTAACCACTGATAATTGTTTCCAACACAAAATTAAGAAATTATGATAGGAGTATCGAATATATTTGAAACTTTAAGCAGATATTCAATGTTTGACTAAAAGTTTCATCTCACTATAATATAACTAACCGGTTATTCAACATGAAAGTTTAAATACTTGAAGCTCGTGAATATTCTTACAAAGAGTCCATAATTAGTGTATTTGTTGAGAATTAAATAGTACACAGATTTCTATACAAAAGTGAATGAATGAGAAATCAAACACTTTAACAAATTTTAAAGGATTAACGTATAAATGAGGGTTAAGTTAAGGATCTGTAAACTGAGGGAAGGTTTTCTCTGGCGGTCGAATCGCAAACATATGAGAAACTACTGACATTCTTTCTTGTTCGAAGGATACCACCAAAGCATGAAGATCTTGGTAGAACAGTTGATCTAAACCATAAATCATTCCCATTAGGGACTCTAATTTCAAATATCGAAATCGGCTCTAGGAAAAAGCAAAGACAAATGAAATCGAAAAGCATAAATTTTAAAACAACAAGTAAATAGGAATTCAAGATATGACAGACATTGGGTCTCAATGAGAATATTGGTTTTCAGTAATTAAGATCATAAAATAGAGCTACTAATCTAAATATTGACCAAAGAATACTCCTAAATGACCATCCGAGTCTTATTAAGAATTAGTAAGAAGCATGCTAATCATCTTAAGTAAAGTTTCCTTATGATTATGCAGACAATATTATTGTAATAGAATCGGGAGAAAATCGAGTGTTCTATCCACCAACCAGAGTAGATAAAATACACTTTTCTAGCTAATTCACATATAAAACTGGTTATCTGTCCGAAGTTAATAAGTCTGCACCATATAAATCACAGATACAGAACAAAGACAATGACGTTCGTTAATTGCTCTTGATATTGAAATTTATTGCTTAACACTCACTATTTTTGCCAACACATACTGCAATCACGTTTAAAAAACAAATATCAGTCTACAAAATGTATTTCATATAAATCCCTATATGTCTTGGCAAAACTTCAGGATTGTGTAAATCAGAGTAGGTTGGTCAGAAATTTAGCATACTATCAATTAAAGTGCTTATTATAAAGAAACATCAAGGTTTTATTAATTGGTATGTTACGACAAAAAGATGCAAGAACATTCAAATGAATCCAGGTGATGGAAAAGGTATCTATAAGCAGTATTTTCAACTGAAGAAAAACTGGATCGGTATTCTTCCACGAGATAGCAGTTTATATCAGATTATAGTGTGTAGTAACTTGAATAAGGGGTTATACAGTGGTCTTGAGTAATGTTGGAGGTATGAGGGCGGTTATAACTTCCAGGTCGCCCACACCGTGGAAGGATTCTTTTAGACTTTACCTTACGCCTGTTACTCCTAATGGAGCATAGGCCGCCGACCAGCATTCTCCAACTTACTCTGTCCTGGACCTTCTGTTCTAGTTCCATCCAATTCTTGTTCATTTTCTCATGTCCATCTCCATTTCCCGGCGTAATGTATTCTTTGGTCTTCCTCTTTTCCTTTGGCCTTTAGGATTCCACGTGAGGGCTTTTCCTGTGACGCAGTCGAGTGCTTTCCTCAATGTGTGTCATGTCTACTTCCAGCGCTTCTTCCTCCGCTGGAAGCTGGTTTGTTCTCTCCCACAGTATGTTGTTGCTAATAGTGTCCGGCCAACGGATCCGAAGTATTTTGCGTAAACAACTGTTAATAAACACCTATATCTTTTAGATGATGGCTTTCGTAGTCCTCCAGGTTTCCGACCCATGCAGTAGAGCTGCCTTGACATTTGTATTGAAAATCCTGACTTTGGTGTTGGTCGACAGTTGTTTTGAATTCCAGATGTTCTTCCGTTGTAGAAATGCTGCTCTTTCTTTGCCGATCCGCGCCTTCATATCTGCATCAGATCCACCGTGTTCGTCAATGATGCTGCCCAAATGTGTAAAGGTTTTTACATCTTTCAAATCTTCTCCGTCAATTGTGATTGGATTGGTGCATGTTGTGTTGTATCGGAGAATCTTGCTTTTCTCTTTGTGCATATTGAGACCTATTGCTGCTGAGGCTGCTGCTACACTGGTAATCTTCTCCTGCATTTGTTGTTGCGTTTGCGATAGAAGAGCTAGAAAATCTGCGAAGTCTAAATCGTCTAACTGCATCCTAGATGTCCACTGTATCCCGTGCTTCTCTTCAGATGTTGATGTCTTCATGATCCAGTCGATCACCAGGAGAAAGAGAAAGGGTGAGAATAAGAAACTTTGCCTGACACCGGTCTTTACCTCGAACGGCTTTGTCAATTGTCCTCTATGCACAATTTCGCAGTTTAATCCATCATATGAACTCTGTATGATATTAACTATCTTCTGAGGCACACCGTAGTATCGAAGAAGCTTCCATAGTGTTCTTCTGTCCTCGCTATCAAATGCTTTTTCGTAGTCAATGAAGTTGATGTAGAGTGATGAATTCCATTCAATTGATTGTTCCACAATGATCCGTAGAGTTGTGATTTGGTCTATACATGATCTGTCCTTATCGAATCCTGCCTGTTGGTCACGAAGTTGGGCGTCTACGCAGTCCTTCATCCTGTTTAACAATACCCTGTTGAAGACTTTTCTTGATATTGAGAGAAGAGTGATGCCCTTGTAGTTATCACACTTGCTGAGATAGCCTTTCTTCGGTATTTTGATCAGAAGTCCTTCTTTCCAGTCTTTTGGTACTTGTTCCTCATCCCAAATCTTGTTGAAGAGAATGTGGAGTATCCTTGCAGTTGCCGCTACTTCTGCTTTTAGTGCCTCTGCTGGAATGTTGTCTGGTCCTGCTGCTTTGCCACTCTTGATTTGTCTGATGGCCATGCTGATTTCTTCAATTTTTGGTGGACCAACATTGATTGGGAGGTCCGTGGGTGCTGCTTCGATGTTGGGTGGGTTCAGTGGAGCTGGTCGATTCAAGAGTTCTTTGAAGTGTTCTACCCACCTGTTTTGTTGCTCTTCAATGTTGGTGATTACCTTGCATTCCTTGCTTTTCACTTGTCGTTCTGGTTTGCGGCGATTTCCAGACAGTTTCTTTATCGCGTCATACAGTTGTTTCATGTTACCTTCTCTTGCAGCCTTTTCTGCCGTCATTGCTAAATCTTCTACATATTTACGTTTGTCAGTTCTGATACTCCTCTTCTCTTGCTTGTTTACCTCTGTGTATTCAGCTTGTGTCTTGGCTTTTTCTGCTCTTGTTCAGTTGGTATTGATTGCTGCCTTCTTGTTCCTCCTTTCTTGAATCTTATCCAGTGTATCAACAGCGATCCATTCCTTGTGATGGTGCTTCTTATGGCCCAGAACCTCATGACGTGTTGAAGTGATTGCCTCTTTGATCCCCTTCCAGTTGCTCTCCACAGTAGTTCCTTCTCCAATGAGTAGATCATGAAAGGCCTGTAACTTATTGCTGCGGGCTCTCTTGAATTTGTTGAGTTTGTCAGTATCTCGAAGAAAAGGCCGTATGGAACTTTTGTGATGTTGTCCGCCCCGTTGTCCAGTGCTTCTTGAGTTTCAGTTTGATCATGGCGACCAGCAAGTGATGATCTGATGCTATGTCAGCTCCTCTCTTGGTTCGCACGTCCTCCATCATCCTCCTGAACGTTTTGTTGATGCAAATATGGTCGATTTGGTTCTGTGTAGTGTGGTCCGGTGAAGTCTATGTGGTTTTGTGTATGCGTTTATGTGGGAATATAGTGCCGCCTATGACCAGTTTATTGAAGGCACATGGGTTTGCGAATCTTTCACCATTTTCGTCTACTTCTCCTAGTTCATGATGTCTTCATATCCGGTGTTGTCCATTCCAAACTTGGTATTTAGGTCTCCCATCAAAATGGTCAAGTTCTTTGTTGGGCACTTCTCGACGATTGACTGCAGCCTATCGTAGAATTGATCTTTAACATCTTCATTGTAGTCGTTGGTAAATTATACTAAAACCAACAGGAGTTATAAATTAACCCGAGTTACCATACACCGGACAGTATCAATCATTCCTTATCCTATATTATTCTTAATCAAGAAAAATAAACGTAGGATTTCTTATGATGTATATCTTATTATAATTTACTAACCATGGATCTGGATAATAAGAATATTCATATAATTTCTGGTTCGATAGAAGTTAACTGATAAGTCATTTCGCTTCATCTGGTGTAAAACAGTAAAGTATCATTCAGGACAGTTGGGAGCTATTAGGTAGGTCAATAAATTAAAACAACCAGTTATTATGTAAAAAGTCACTCCATCTTAGAAGTATACAAATTTAGAAACAATTGCTATTTATCACTATTTTTAAGCATTGTCACGGAAAAATATCACAGAATATATATTGTACAATATACTGCCAAAAAGAAAATATTGATTAAGAAACATGTAGTATTGTATTTCTAAGCTTAGACATTCCTGTTAGTGTCAATGTAAACTTGATTAACAGATGATAATAAAATGGATTTCGATTTTTGTATCCAAATGCACATAGACATATGCATATACTTGTCTATAAAGACATGGAGATGTACATAGATGTAAAACTGTGATATTCTTATTGCCCACTCGCTATTCCCAGTCACGTGCTTATTATTTGGTATGTGCTAGGAAAATATTACCAAAGAGAAATTCACACATACCAAAATCTGTCCAATCAGATTTGAAAGTATTCTGTTATTAAGGTTTTTACGAAAATCATTAATACTATTACGATTGTTGTTTGTGAACAGTTTTACAGGCAAGTGTTTATTCAACAAATTGAAAAAAGTAAAGAATTTGTGCATAAATTTTCACAAATTCATGCCATAAAGTTAAACTGTATAAAATTTTTGTTTAACATTTAAGTATCATTCCAATTCTTCCGAATAAAAACTAGTCTACATTCATACAAATGTTACGGATTTGACTTACAAACTTGGAGGTCTGATATTTAACAATGTATATTTGAGATTTTGTTTTTAACAATGTAATAAGGTGAATAAATGAGAAATGAAAATTAATGTATGTAAAATAAACTTGATATTTACGGTCTACAAAGAAAGGTATTAAAAAAGTTATGTTTGAATATGAAAAGAAAGGAATGTGTACTACACTATTAACAGGTGATTATTTTAGTTACTCTATGTTAAAAAAGTTTCTATTCATTGTGATTCTCTCTATTTTGTTTTACTAAACCAATAAGACATTGAAATACAGAACATTCAAACAAAGTGTATACATAGGTTTTTTCTTTCCTATCGTTAATATTACTGCATTCACTACTGTTTGGAATGCTTGCTTTCAAGTTATAAACTTATTATATTAATTATAAGCAATGTCACTAGTAATATTTAAATATCGTTGAATTTAGAAGAAAGTAATGAAAAAGCAAAACTTATAGAAATTTGTTACAAAAATGCAATTAGTACATTGAAGCAACATTCCAGGCACTGGAAAAAAACAATTCACAAGTCAATATATATATATATATATACGAAAATGAGATTTGTCCGCAAGATAGATTTAGGGGAGAAAAATATTTAAATGAAATTCCTTATTTAATTTAACCTATTGGATAATTTTTACATCGACTGTATCTATGCATTTTATTATATAATATGAGAAACTAATCATTTGGTTTAAAATATATAATACAATTAATTATAGTTGAAGAATAAGTTACAAATAGGTTTTCAATTATGATACCATTTATATAAGAGTCAACAGTTAGGAGTAGATTTTTGTTTATGTAAACAGAAAGTAGGTTGTTGTCAAAACAACTGAGTCAGTAGAAAATCATAAATAACACGAAATTCCTTTACTGTATATCATTAGATGAAAATGATAACCAGAATATATGTATAACGATTCTAATAAATTTAAGTTAGAGTATCAACTTACTATAAAGTATTGTTCTTGTTCTGAGTTAGCATTTTTATATGCACCCACTTCACTATGGCAAGCTGTAAGATAGATAAAAACATTTGGGTGAAAAATTAGTAAACTGAGCATAAATTGAAAATTGAATCAACCATTATCTACATATTTAAATGAATATGGAAAAAAACTGATTATAAAAAAGTAAAGTTTTAATTAAACATTGTGTCCACTGTCACTTTATTATAGGACATACATAAATGGTTCATCTATTTTCATTTTCATCGCGTCTTTACAAAATTTCCTTTAGTGTGATCAATCATCGCAAATATATTCTGGTCTTACAATAAGTTAATTATAATTATCTACCTAAATGAAATTCATTTATGTTCAATAGTTAAACTAAATAGTACTTTATGATAAATAACAGGTTGAAAAAAACGTAAGACAGGTATCCAACTCAGGTAATGGCTGAAGGGTTGCACAAGATCATGGATCGATTAAAGTTAGACATTGACATAGTTGGATGCGTCCTGTGCGAAACCGAAGGTCCCGGGCCCGAGTCCCACGTGCGGGATCATGGATGCGCACTGCTGAGGAGTCCTATACTAGGACGAAACAGCTGTCCAGTTATTCTAGGTTTTCAATGGTGTTCAGTTTTAGGTTGACTTGTGAATTCAACTTCGAAAATACGGCAATCTCTGCAAATTCCCAAAATTGATAAGCGGTACTTTATGATAAATAACAGGTTGAAAGGATTGTTGCTTATCAAATAGTTTTTTTACAAAAAAGTGGAATATACAATAAGATTTTAAAAAATTGATTTACTATAAGACTAACACTTGAATATGTAAAAACAACACTATGACTAGTCTATGGAAAATTTTTAAAAAATTTATTCATCTCAAGTTCCTGTTGGAATATACCGGGTGAGAGTAAGGAAAACCAATGAAAGATCAATTGACCATTAATCAAAATGCTGAAGTCCGTTTCTAAATTCTTAGAATGAACAAATATTTTAACAATTTGTGAGTAGAAAAGTTTTATGTCAATAAAAATAAACATACCAAGCAAATTATGCCGTAGGGATAATTGTAGTTTACGTAGATCGGTAAAGAAACTTTTACGTTCTACTTCAGGATCTTTTAAAGGAGCATTAATCCAGAGGTTGGGATGATGACGTTGACAGTGAGGAATAAGTAAACTAAAAAAAATACACAGTAAAAATATATTGAAAATTTATGAGTGTGATTTAAAGCAGAAGAAAATTCAAAGTGGCCTTTATTCAAATATTAGACTATGATACTGAATTATCTCTCACTTTTTCCTAAAAGTAACACTACATTACGTATGAAATCATCTGATATAAATAAATTAGGGAAAATAGAATGAAAATATGGGAATTAGAATTCATCAATTTAAGCTTTTACTATATGATAAATAATTTAATTAACATTATATATTTTACTTAGTTAAGGGTACAAAGTAATGAAAGTAGTAGTACTAGTAGTAGTAGTAGTAGTTTTCTTTCTGGATTCGTTGTCTATGTTCCATATACATTAGGAGAGTATCATATGATGAAAAGGTAAATGTTCAAAAATTTATCATTACAGTTCCTGTAAATTGTGATGATAGAAAAACACCGTATAGCATAGTTAAAGTTCACCTGATATTTAGAGATGGTAACAGAAAAATTAATCAGTATTCACCAATGTCTTAATATGAAGCTGGTTTTCAGAGGAAACTGAAAGATAAGCAGATATAATCTGTAATACTTTGCACCAAAAAGTATTTAGTGTTAAGTGGATTGTGGTAGGACTGTGATGAGAGAAGATAGTGAAGGCTTAATTTCTATAGAGGCACAACGGATTTTCAACTTATTAGACATCAATTAATGCATACATGTTTTAATATCATTTTTATTCGTAATTTATTTCACACTGTTATAAGCATTTTTGATATTCCTTTTAATTATCAAAATATCGTGTCACCTGTCAACAAAAATAAAATAAAAATAATCAGGTATTTATTCATACATTGATTACAAACAAATATTGTCTATATTATGGAATAGAAACTAGACAAATTATTCTTTCCCTGTGTATGTGTAAATATAGCACACAACCAGAAATAATGTAGAGATTATGATTAACAGAATTTACTGACAATAACTATGAGCTTTACGTAAAGAAATTCGCCAAGGTTAACCAAATGTATCAGTATGGGATTGTGGAGAGTATTAAGTTTCTTATTGAGATCTTAAAACGGTTGATGTTAGACCATCATCGAAAACCTGGAAGCACTGGCTGGCCGTTTCATCTTATTGTGGGACTCCTCCGAAGTCCACATCCACGATTCACGCCGTGACCAGTCGAGCTAATCCGTGTCGGGTAGAGACAAGTATCTCCCTAGGTACAATGGAAGACGGTCGTGCGATTTCGTGGATTGGTTGAGGTTAGACATTAACATCGTTGGATGCCGGCTCAGTGGTCTGTAGATTAAGCGTTCGCGCGCAAGACCGAGGGTCCTAGGTTCGAATCCCGCGAGCGGGACCGTGGATGCACACTGTTGAGTTCCATACTAGGATGAAGCGGACGTCCAGTACTTCCAGGTTTTCAATGGTGGTCTAACACCAATCGGTTCATTATCTGAATCAAATCGATGTATTTTGTAAAAGGTTTTGCATTATTGTATTTGACTACTTTTGTTGGATTTTCTTCATTTTGATGCACTGTTTTAGCTTTTACGTTCCAAATAAAATAAAATATATTTTATTTCTATTAGTTCGTTCTTGCAAAACACTTTGATACACTTTATATATGATTTCCAAAACAGACTTATATAGTATTAAGGTACAAGAAGTGGATTGATAGTTAGCAACTTTTATTGATGTGATTTATCAGTATGAATTTGCTGAAGTTATACTAATGAAGTAGGGAATTGCGAAGTTCATAAGCGTTACCAAACAACTGATTCAAAAAGGAAATGTAGCATAATATGGTTCTAAGCAACTTCAAAGAGGTGGTTATTTCATGAGAGATTATTTTATTTAGTTGACCATTTTGCCATCAGACGATCAAATACAGATCCAGGTAATGTTTTAAATTATATTGAGACAGCAGACATCCGCCCAATGTACTAGAAAACTCCATTTGACCTTAATTAGTTAAGATCCAAATCTGAGAATGCATTAGTAGACTAGATATTCAAGAAAAAATTTACACTGCAATTAATTCAATGCTGTATTGACATAAGAAACTTTCAGTATATGTTGACAATTTGTCATGGATCTCACGTCTAAAAACCTCTTACTGGTATGATAAGATAGTTCGGTATTTGTTTCAATACCTAATGGTAAAAAAGTCAAATACTGGTCGAAAGAGAAACATTTTCCGAATAATTAAATTTCTCTTCCATATAAATTATCAACAACGTTGTGCTCTTTTAGCATCAACATCAGAACAATGGATTTCCCTGCATTTCAAGACTAAACATAAGGTGTATATAATCGTTTGACTGAAAGTAGTTTGAGAGATTAAATAAATTGAAAGAAATGATGGGCAAATAAGACAAATTCTAGTATATATTATCGCCCGATGTAAACGATGAGTATGAGTATTTCATATATTTGGAGACTAGAAATAAATTTCTCAATATCGAGGATTAATTGAAGTTAGGTATATGCACCTTTGGATGTCAGGTCAGTGGTCTAAAGGTAAAGCTCTCAAAGCGAAACCTAAAAGTCCTGTGTTCAGTCCTCGGTAGGGATGCTTACTACTGAGAAGTTCCATACTAGGACTAAACAGCTGTTCAGTGTTTTTTTAATTTTCAATGGTTGTCTGACTGGGAACAATCAGTGATGTAAACTATAAAATTTTAGTAACCTTTATAAGGCCCCTGTAATAAAAATTCCCCAAACTTGATACACTCGTGTATATCTGCTCGATAAGAACAATGCTTAACACCACACAGCATAAATTTGTAGATATGTAGTTGTCTGTTTACTGGACATTAAAAAAGCCACTAAAAAGGATAGATTTTTATATACTAATCCAGGAATAAACAAATAAAAGTAGAACATAGTAAGGTAATAATTATTAATATTAATAATGGTAAATTTTTCAATATTTACTTTTGATAGTAAACACCTGACTGACTTGAATCAACACGTTCCCATCCCAGTGGTACATACGGTCCAATAAGTGGATGATTCCATGTGGATCGTCTGGTTGAATCACATGTATAATATGATCGACCAAGACCTGATCGTCTTTCAGACCATCCATTTGGTAAAATCAAACGACTATTGTTGTCCATTTCAATTAATGACTAGAAATATTTTTTCAATGAAAGGAATCACTCGAATAAAGTTAGAAAACATTTTTTATGATAAACTAAAACAAGCATAAGCATCTATTTCTGATTAATGAAACAGTTAGATAAAGTGATTAACAGAAACTGAACAAAAACTATGTCGAAAAAAGCAAGCAGAATTACTCAAAGTATTTAAAAATTTACATGTGAAACTTACTGAAATTTTTGAATAGAAATTAGAATGATCCATTAAAGCTAATCCCGGTTCAACGGGTAATTCTGGAGCTAAATCAAAACTTGACTTAGTATATCTCATTCCTATTCTACTTTGATTATGATAAGCGGCTAAATCATTGGCACTAAACGAATTAGTCATTGAGCGTAAAGCCGGTGACTGTAAAACGTTGTTACCATTATTATTATTGTGATGAAAGAAGCTTTGTGCATCATTTGTTTGATCTGACAGTATAAATACCTGGTTACTTGGATTAATTGCATAATAATGCTCACAACGATTGCTATTTTGTTTAAATCTATCAATTTCTGAAGCTGCTCCACGTTCAGATGTATGACTTGTTAAATTATCTGTTTCAGACGAATATGTAAAGCCAGCATTTGCACTACCAGAACGAGGCATACAATTCGTAAATCGTCCATAAGTCGGACGTTGAAAATAAGCATTCCAATTGTAGTTTTCTGTAAGATAAAAAATTAAATGAATTAATACATTTACCCAATGTATACATGCATCACATGGAGGTTATAAAATTCTAAGTTATATATCTCAAAATAAAGGAAATATAATGTCTTGAATCAAAAACAAGCATATGGAGAAAAATTCTGGATTTCACATGTTTTTGAAAAAATTATACCAATTGATGTAAGCAAAGTCAGATTGTATAACGTGACAAATGTTTAATAATGAACATGTAAGATGTTGTTATAATAGATACAAGTGTATGTATGCATTTTGTAACCACTCCATTTCGTATTTATGATATCAACTTTATTAAACAATAAATAAATAGTTGAAGGAAAAGTGTTGTAGTGTCCTATTGTTATAATACTCGCAATGTTTTACTTCAAATTGAATTTTTTCCTTGTCTATATCATCCAGACTACGTTTTCATTTAATACTAACAATATCGTTGAGTATTCATGCAAACTCATGAGAATAAAGGCCGTTATGTATAGCCTAAATTTTTTTTGGAAAAATAAAGTTTTAATCACGCTAAGATGGAAAAAGCAGATGAAAACATATTACTTATGGATTTTTTAATCAACCTAAAAGCAATAAATCGTTCAAATATTTTGAATTCTCATTTCTAAGGAAATAGAAATGTCATAATCTAGATAAGCATTTAGTGAAATATAAATTAATCTTATTTACTAACATAAACATTGAAAAAAGTGTTTGTTTACTCATTTACAAAGTACGAATTCATATACTCGAGTTTAAATCACACGTGTTGTGTGTGGGGTTAGTGATTGATACTTTCCGACTGCTTAAATGCAAAGTTGGCGGAGAAGGATTCAGTTCTGTCATATATAACTGAAATTTAAGCAAATTAAGTATTAAATCGTATCTTTAGACGCTTAGTCAAAATTGGTCACAATGGCACAGAAACATTTACTCATTAATTTACTCTAGATATCAAGTTCCTGTATTTCATTATACACATCTTTTCATTCGTGCTTTCTGAACTATATTACGAGTGATTACTCTTTTTCATTATCATTACTACTCCATTATTTTAATTCCTTCGTTATTCATTCTGTTAATTTCATATTTTCTTGCTAATATAATGCAGTGATTTGAAGTAACGAAGCCTTGTGCCAGACTATACGTCGATTATAACCGACAGATTTCCACTTATCGATAAATATATACAGCATCTATACTGAAAATATAAAGGAATGAAGTATGAATTTCAAATTTATGGATATGTTTAACCTCAAAACTCAGGCAGTAAATGAACATACAAAAAATACTATGCATTACTGATTATTGAAAAGCATGACATTAAACAGAAAACTCTCCAAACCTATATCAGTTTGCTTAATTTTCTTAAAATAACACGAGAATCTTTTTTTAACAAACTGACACCTGCCGTAATTTCAAGTTAGACTAATATTCATTGGTTTGACAGCATATAACTGCATACATGAAAATAATTACATTTTTTTGAAAATACCACGAAAAGTACATCAGATTAGGTATGTGTTCATATAAAACTTAAATTTACCTAATGTGAAAATATCTAGAAAAAAGAAGTCGGATAATGAATGCTTCAAGTGTACGAAACTCGACACATTCAACTAATTGTATTCACACACACATACATACGGAAGAAAGAATGGTAAGAAAAATAAATAAACGAAATGTTAAATGCCACCAACAATGAATTTTCAAACAAAAGGGCATCTCTGCCAATATATCATCTGGCATTCATTAAATTTAACACTGAAGTGTATAGAGAAAAATACACAAAGTGAAAAAGATGAAATACATACAAATTATGATTATATCACAAGTGAATAATTAGCTTTCTCACTGTAGAACAAAGGATTTTTTAGATGGAAGTTACAAAATAAAACAATATTTTATAACCGCTCTTATTTCTTTAAGTGAATGAATTCGGGAAAATGTTGGGAAAAAATAAGCTGATTAATCGAAACTGTTTTTTTCCTGTTACATGTTCCGCCTGATTTATAGCAAGCAGTCGTATTGTTTGGCTAGCCACGGTTCCCAGTGAATGACAATATTACTTAGTTCCTTTTAATGATAAATATACAGGAATAAGGTTGGTAATGAAATTATGTTGGGGAGTATGAACTGATTTCTTATTGTATAGCGTGTGTGTAAAGATTCCTGTGTCAACGATTTATCTAAATTTGTATAGTTAAGATGTAGTTGTGTTAGAGGTATCTTAAAATATAGATTTTTTAAGGTAACTTTTTAACTGACATACAATAGATAACCATCAAAGGATTCTATTGTATTAATTAGCATATTAACTTCAACTAACAGCTTAGTTTAGGAGGATGTATGAAAATACTTCCATTCTACTTTTCCCTTATTTAACTATGTTCAGATAATAAAACAGGTACTATTATTCTTAACTAGAAAAACTTGTCGCGCACATATTTACTGTAACAAATACATACGATGCCTTGAAACAATTTTTCGCTCGTTTCTTTTAACATGATAAATAACTTTCTGTCACTAACATACTGTTCAAAATAATCTTAGATTTCATGTGTGCATGGTATTATCTTCATGGTTTAGAACTTTTAGTAATGCTGCAAAACACTATGCATCTCGGATAGTCATTGAAGTACAAAATTCTTAGATTGTTCATAATTACAGATGGAAAGCTTACGATAGTTGGTTTTACTATGAAACAGTGAAACTAAAAATATAGTTGAGAGAACAGTTTTATTCTAATATGTGAGAGTGACAAATTAAATCAACTCGCTTGTCAGTATTACGCATATTATTGAGGGTCTCAATAATAAAATGAGTCGAAAAATATAGACAATAGGACAACTATTGATAAAAAAAATTTACTGATTAATTTCCTCTGTTTATTGTATATATTTTTATTACCAATCACTTCTTTGTACCGTCTCAACTTACATCCGTTCTTTCTGATGTAATACTAAGGTTCTCTCAAATTACACTTGTATCCTAGAGTGGTGTCCACATTTCCTTCAACCATTATTTCAGTAGTTAGATACATTGTAACCAAGGTGAACAAAACTCCCTGAACTAAGCACGTTGTATCATCCTAAAACAAAATATTCTTTATTAATGCTAATAACTTATCAAGAGACATTTTGTTTTACTGGAAGTACTCTAGAATCACGTGATAGACAGTGTCGTAAATCATGTCCAATGACACTTCCAAGCCTAAAGAAATAACGTTTAGCTCGGTAAACTAATACTCAGATTGACTTTTAAAAAATGATTTAGTGTAGTGGGAGGCAAGAAACACAATAAAATGGGATACCTTCGATAGAAATTCACAAATAAAGATCAGCATACCTAGGTTAGTGTTGTTATTATAAGAAAATGGATCCCAGCGAACAGCGTTCATGCAAGGAAACCAAGGATAACCAGGTGGAGGTGAATACACACCTGATGGTCTATAAGCTGCATAAGAATTTGTTGGGATTCTATCCGAATAGGTGTAGTTTATATTAGCAAATCGTTTGATTCCATCAGGATTTGCACATGAGCATAGACCACCGGCTGCTGTCGCTTGTAGTGGGTTTTCTGTAGTCTGTGGATCATAGGAGAGGAAATGGCAACTTTCAGTCAAAGGGGATGTACAATTGCCTTCGTATACGTGTCCATGGTTTGGATCCATACAGCAAAAATGCCCCGATGGCGAATAGTTTGGAGGAGAATTCATCTGTGTGTTGTAAAAGCAGATAATATACAATAGATTTTCTAACATTTTGCACCAAAAATTATATATATATATATATATATATATATATATATATATATATATATATATATATATATATATATATATATATATATATATATATATATATATATATATAAACAGTGTATTCGATAAAAAATGTTACAGTAGCCATCGTTTTACAAATGCAGGACGGCCCGTTAGGTTTAAAAAGAAACATCTGTAAACAATATAAAATAACACCATCTGTATACAGCAATTGTACGTCAAACATTAGTTTTTAAAACTGTTAGGGACTAATCGTCGGACTCTGAATCTTCTGTCTTGAGAAACTAATCATTAGTTTAGCCTTCTTCATCATTATTCTAAATAGACAATGAACAAGAACAAGGTTAGGACTTCAAGGTCAGATGGTTGGTACTTTAACACTCAACCAATGCACTAAAATCTTATCGGTGAAACTTTCTATTAAAAGTCAATCTGCTTTATAGTGTGATTATCATCCTATGTAGTAGGTGGGTGATTAGTGTAATATGTCTTGTAACCGTACAACTCGTCTATGACTCACGGGTTTGCATACCATACCCCAGAAATTGTGTAGAGTTTATAACGTCTATTTGGCTGTTTACCTATAAATCATAAACATTGGAAATTTGTTATTTACTTATTCCTTCTGTAGTTTATAATTTACTTGTTTGTTCTGATATCATTATATTCCCGTTGAGTTTCTGTTGTATTTTTTGCAGAGTCTAGCACTTTAAACTAGTATGATTTTTTGGTTCCCACATTATTGTGTACGTTTTTCAAAAACATTTACAGACACCTATTTATTAATAGTAGATATCTATAAAATAAACGATTTCATACAGTTTGATGTTGGGTTTTCATTAGTACTAGTTGAAGCATAAACAAAACCCGATACTTTTAGGAAACTAATCACAACAATCTGGAAAACTCGAATGTAAAACTTACAACATAGTTACCGAAACATATTAGCTTCTAGATTACTGTGATCAATATCAACGTATTACTCATAAACTGATTTTACTGAAATGTTTTTTTTCAATAAACAGAGGCTCATAGCAGTAAAAATGATCTTATAACAGAAATAAGGAAAAATAAACAACGGAAATTGTTAAGCTAAAACTAGAACACGGCAGATGATCAACATAAATTTCAAACAAATACCAGTTGCATAACAAATAAACCAGATACAGAATATGTTAGGTTATTTGCTATAACAAAGGCTTGTCTCACAGCTCATACACATACAGACCTCATGAAAGGTATCAGTTAACATCAACACACAACATCGAGAACGAGTACTTACTGTGGAACTGATTACCTTGCAGAATCTAACAAAATCAATATCAGGAATGTATTGACTGGTGAATTCGATAACACAATAAAATAATGAATCCAAAAAAACGAATACTAGATAATTATTTAAGTAAAAAAAATGAATATTAGTTTAAAATAGAAATTATTATAGTGAATTCCTCACATGCTGTGTAGATATGGTTTTCATACCACAAAATCACCATAATGATCCATTATATTTCAACATTAGTAACAATGTTAAAATCATTGTTTATTAACACATTGAATATCAACAATATTAAGGAAATTTTAAATACAGTCTAAGACTAACAGTGAGTAAATTCAATATAATAACTTACTACATAAGATAAAGGTGTGACTAAACGATTCATACGTTGTGAAAAAACTGTATGATCAAGACCGAATTGTTGTTGTTGTTTCAGGTGTGGGTAATAGTAATGGTGATAGGGAAATTGTGAATATGATGGATGCCTTTGTGGAAACATATGAGAAGAAATGTACCACTGATACCAATTCGGTGGCCAAGAAGTTGCTTGTCCCTGTTGAAGATCGGGAGCATAAATGTTATTTGACTCTATGCAGTAATTCATATGATTAGTATTGCCATCTGCGTTTCCAGTAGGAGAAGAGGTTGAGTGATTTATGAGGGGAACAGATACGTATCCACTGTTATGTGGATGTGTGACCAAACCAGGTTGGTTAGATGTTGAAGTACAAGATTCACTAGTCATTGTTAGTTTTTCATCTAAATTCCATTCTCTTTGTCCTAAATAATCTTGGGAATAAAATAAAAAATTAAGTTATGTTTGATTGCTAACAGATACAATATTTAAAATAAGTATAGTCAGCCGTCAATTTGTCGACCAATAGTAAACAATACAGAACACAATTCATATGTCGTAAAACCCGTTGTAGTCGGTTAGTTAGCCTAAGGTAGTACTTCTAAAAGAAACATTTTGACCCATTTTTTCCTAAATTATACGATTTAAGTTTTAAATCAATGTTAATTCCCATTGCATGTTGGCAACTGAGTTTGGATATACTTTGGGTATTAGCAGTGTCCTACAAGTAGCACAGAATTTAATTTTAGTTTGACTTTTCGAACCCATCGTTAAATAGCTTTTTATAGTATAACCAACCACCTTCATACAAAAATGACAACTACGTTTTAAATTGGCTATATCGTCATTTTTTTTCATTCATTGCCTTAACTTCTCATTTCTATTAGTTGCCTTAGAATAATATCTAATGCAATGTGTTATTCACCAGTCTTATTCGTGTAAGATGGTTGTGCAGTATCATGGATTAACTGAAGTTAGACTTGCACACCACTGGATGCCATCCCAGTGGCCCACAGGTTAAGCTTTAGCGCGCGAGACTGGAAGTCCTAGGTTTGACGCTTGGATTCAGAGTTGTGGGTGTATGCAGTCGAGGAGTCTCATACTACGATGAAACAGGCATCTAATGTTTTAGGGTTTTAGGTAGTTGTCTAACTTAGGTCGGTTCGTGATCTCAATAAAATTAAACAGTTTCAAAAACCCTATTCATTTATGTTTGTTGATGTGATCTCCAATTTTCATTAATAGTTCAGCTACTACGACATTTTTGTGAAGTACTTTCAGAAGTTATAACAGTTAATTTTCGAATACTTTTTAAGTAAACATTTTTAAAGCCATTATTTGGTGTTAAATGTCCTCTTCTGATTTTATTTTAATAAAACACCACCACTGTTCAGACTATTTTTGTTCAACAACAAAAGTATGGATAACTTAAGCTATTTGTGATTGTATAAAGTCCATATTATGATTCCAACGGTTTCACGTCTTTATATGTAGAATTAATCATTTCTGATGTCGTGAAAACCTCATTGGGGATGTTAACAAACAGAATATAAATGTACCCAAGCATATTTTTAATGACAAAAGCTGAGCACTTTATGCGTTTCCTGATTTTGTTAACATGTTATAACCCAAAAGCACCAGGAGAGAAGCCACAAACAGATTTATCTGGTAAACCGTAGGACTTGTAAATCAAAAACAAGAGGAATAAATAGGTAGTCGACTCTTACCAAACTGCAAGTTCGTATACACTGGACAGGAAGCTTCGTTTAAATTACTGGGGTGTTGCGAAACGAGTGTTGTAGAAGAGCGATTGACGGTTTCTTCAGCCTTGTTGGTGGTAATAATACCTGTTTGAGTAGTTCCTAAATTCATTGGAATGGAACTGTGTGGTTTTTGTTTAGTTAACATGTGTGAATTGTGGTCAGATGAACTTCCCGACAATGATGAGGGGGAATGTCCTGAACTCGTTTGTGTTGTTTTTGCACATGACTCAGGTTTTAACTGAACATCTGAACTGTTTGTGAAAGCGTTGTTAGTTGGATGATCTGGGCCAAATTTACTATCCAAATACCGCTCAAAATGCTGAAAACCTATGGGTAGACGCTGATGCATTAAATCAGCATTTGAATGGCTACCGTCTTCAGATATTCCGGAACTCAACCGGCTGCCTCGAGATTCTGACGTCGTCTCAAAGCGATTGTTTCTCACAGCACTGCTACTACGACTGCTTGATAATGATCTAGCTATATATGGTGACTCCGTACACATACTCTGATCATCTCTGTTTGACACCGCACATGTTTCATTTCGTTCAGTTTTACCATGCTTTCGTGGTTTATCTAGTTCAGTCATTTTAGATCCATCTTGTCCCAGTGAAGCATTTGTGTATGCAGAAGAAGTGCGTAACACCAACAAATCTCTGACAGCTTTAAGAAGATACTGCAACTAAAAAACATTTTATTAAGCATATCGACTCCTAGGTCTCGAACAAGTAAAAAATGTGAAATGTTTTGTCCATATAAGTGTTCCTAGTGTAAAAAACAAATTAATGCCCAATTTACTTACAGTTCAATCAATTAGGCCCAGAAAATCCGGTTTTTATAAACAATTTGAAGTCACAAATCTAAATCGTGACAATGAGTTATCCATTGGTCATATTAAAAGTGGAAATAGTGCTAATTGTAGTTAGTTCTACGAATTAATAAATTAGAAAATCTATTTGACATGATGATTCGTCAACTTATCACTCAATCAAATGGCAGGAAAGACAAAACAGAGTAAATGTAAAGGTCAAAATAGAAAATTCATCCTCAAAGTATAAAGATGTCAAAACTCAGACATCTCTTGTTCACCTAAGAAACCATTCATTAAAGAATAATTAAGACAACTGAATGTTCAGCGAAATATTCACATTCACCGAAACAAGGGTTTGTGTTTTAGGGATGAGATAATGATCACTGGTGTTATATTCATATAAGAAATACACAATAAACATTCTACAAGAGCATAGCATGAAGGATTATCGAAACTTGGCAACTACTAACAAACCGTATGTTCCTCCTTTAGTTTCCGCTTTTATTTAAAGGTCCTTTCTACAATAAAGATGGTCATTCTGGTAACCAGTCATATAGATTTTTGCTCGGGTATTTAGAAAAATTATGGATTCTTTTCATATTCTTCCGTGTTTCTCATTAATTAATTCATTCAAATCTCCTTAGTCATAGCCGCAAATTACTTTCGGAAACAATAACTAGCAGGTTTACACGAGATGAACCCGTACGGGTCAACACTTTTGACAATTAAGGGCAAATCTCTCAAGTACATTTGTATTCACATTAATTCTTCCTTTGGAAACGAACCATCCAAATAACCACATGCTTTTGATCTCCTCAAACCTAATTATAAAATAAGTGTGGAGATATTAACTGGTTCCGGGTTAGACGTTAAGTTTTGAAGGTGATAAACACTGAGTCTAGATACTGGCAAACTTTTAAAGTAATTCACCTCATCCCTGAAAAGATAGTCTTCGCAAAGAGAAATAGGAAACCTCCAAGAACTTTCATTAAAGAACCTTTCAACACTAGTGGACCAAAGAATTAGGATTTCTGAACTCAAAAATATTATATAGGAAATTGACAAAGAATAAATACCAAGTTAGTACATTTCTGGTTAACTCGAGTTATTTTCAATCTTTGTATACTCCTTATCTTCTAGTACAAAGACAAGTAGTAGCGGAGCTTAATGCTCTAGAGGCTTTTAGTGAATCAGGTTGTTGTTTTTTAGCTTAAGCACTACTATGAACGAGATTCTTCATGCCTTTATCAACCGGGAATTAGGAAACGTATGAAACGTTACTTTGATTCTGAATTTCTTACTTTCAATGTTTAAAGATTCATGATCGTTGTGGAAAGCGGTAAAAACAAAATACACAAACATACTACATAAGAAATTTTAGATATTTTAGCGATCGAAACAATTATTACGCCTCTCTATCTATAGACATAGTGATTTCAGAGAACTAGCAGTAATAAGAATAAAACATCTAGTGATCAGTGCTACCCAATACTTTACGTCACTACAATACGTGAAATTTAATTTACAACATCCATCGGTTGAAACAACACTCTTTTGAGCCAAACTTTCTTATTTGTTTTGAAACAATGGGAAAACTTTAACCGATTAAGACACTCGAATCAATATCACATTCATTTACTTAGTTACTGCATTTTAAACTAAAATGCTAATACACTGCAAAAATCACATAAATTTGAACGCTAACCTCATCGAAATTAAATTGCTGAAGCACATTGCTTTCTGTGTAAGTTTGGCTCGGGCGTTCATCGGAATATGAACTAATGTGTTGTCTATTTAGAGGCGTAGCAGAGTTTTCGTAGGAATAAACCTGTTGTGAATCATTATTTTCAAACGTCGGTTGATTTTGAAAGAGGTTCCCAGCCATTGATGGTGACTCAACACCTTTTACTCGAGGTTCACAAACTGGATTTAAGGAAGCACTTCTATTGGGGCGCATCCGATTTTGTGTACTATGATAAGGGTATGGTTTTGAGTCTAATAATCCAAAACAAGAAAAATATTTAGGGGTTTAAAAACTTTAATCATTTACAAACATTTAAAAAGAAGAGGCACATGTTATTTATCACTACCCATAAAAAAGAACTTAGTAAGAACTGTACCAAAGCATAGCAATTTATATGGTCGCACAGTCATATGAACATTAGCCACAGTGGTTATAAAAATTCTATCTACTTGTTTTATATAAAAAAACGGGGATAAAACTACTAATTAAATTCCGTTACAACAGTCAATTTATTCAAGAAAAATTTATACTAAAGAGTAATTTTGTTTTTCAGTTAGCCTCGTAAGCCAAATAAATTCTCTTGGATACTTGTTTTATTTATAACGATAACATTTTTCACATTATCAAAAAATACTCAAGCCTAAATTTAAGTAGTTGATGAATGCAATACAGTGAATGCATAAGCTTAGTTACATTATTTAACTGGAAAACTAGACTAAAAAATAATAGTTCATTAAAGGGGAGAAATGGATTCCTGATATTCGAATAATAAACTTGTGTTAATACTCAAAAATTGCAGCTCGCTACGAAGCATATAGAAAATGGTAAAAAACAAAATAATGTCCCTAATTAAGTACTAAATTGTACTGTCTTTGAGTATGAAGTGTTGATATAGTGATATAAGACTTCTTGGAAAATTCAAAAACCAACTTAAAATGAAAAGACAGTTCATCGATGAGTTATGCAGATCGATTGATGAGATATTAACAAACTGTCCAGAATTTCACATGTAAAAAGGAGAAAATCATTAAAAACTTGTGATTTATTTCACCCGAGAACAGAAATGGAAAGTTTCAAGTAAAAACTGGAAGGAACACCTAAAACATTCGGACTAAATTACAGAGAGTAGTTAATTCTTTATTATATATAAATAATCTTAATCTAGCCTGGTTTCGTTTAAGGAATATTTATATTTTGAGCATACCCAGAGACTTCATATTCCTCAAAGCATTTTCAATGCGTTGCTCCAAAAACTGTAGTAAGTCTGTAGAACACATTTTCTTCTCAGTCTCACCAGATTTTGGAGAAACTGAGAGATTCACACAACCAGACTTTGTTTCGCAATAACCATGCGCCAAACCCGTACAAGGACTACTTTCCATCATTCTCTGCTCATCTGCTACCAAGTCTGACAAGTAATGTTCCAAAGCGTTTTGCGTGAACTGTGAACCCGGCATTCGAGCATCTGGTAATTCAGCTACATTGGAAAAACCTATTAAAATACAGTAAGGTATTTAAATAAAAAGAATAGAACGAGTTAGTAAAACTGGTTAGATATAAGCGACATACCCAGCTGGCCACAAACCGTGGTTAGTGTGATGACCGATAGGTTTAATTTATAGCTTTGGTCGAGGGAAAGTCAAAAATAGACCGTGTTTTCTGACTTCGGGAAACATCGTCAGTCTCAACATGCTTTCAGTAAATTAGTTTGAATTTAAATCACAATTATAATGGCGGCATATTAGATATACTTTAAAAAAATTTTAAATCGGGAGCAAGCTCAAGAAGTGACAGGCTTTGCTTGGTCATTGTTGTTGAATATTTGATACTTCGCCAAAGCATATATAGTAATATTCTCAGTTTACGTGTGACAAAAAGAGACTAAAAAGATACAAATTCTTCATAAGTATTTTGTTTTATAATCATTGAGCATTAAAGCGCATTATTATTTTCTGACAACTGTCTGTGAAACTACGGAGTAATAAGCTTTTAAAGCGTTCTAATGTTGTAACTTAGTTCAATGACAATACTAGTTGGTGAAGAAACTTACAAAATGATTTTTACCATGGAAAAAATTCAGAGGTTTGTGATTTAAGCAAGGAAGCAATTACCAGGCAGCATCACGAGCGATCGCTAAATAGATATATTCTTATTAAGCTGTTAAATCATCATCTAAGAACAAAATGGGTTGGTTGGTAGAATTGCGAATATTTAGTTACAAAAGAATCACAATTAGTAACAAAAACTTTCTTCCCACGGAGTTTGAATTTTTATCATAGTCATATGATTCCGATGATGTATAGACATCCTATTGCACCAAAAATAGTAGTTATGACAGTCAAACCTAATTCCGGTGACAAATATTCTACGTTTTATTAGTTAAAGAGTTCAATCCGGAACAGATTGGACATAACTCATTTGTATATACTTACCAACATTCCATGAGGCGTGCCTCGGTTGAAGACCATAGAGTTGTATTATGGGTTTTCTCTTAATTTCACTCGTATCTTGTTTTTCCTGATTACCAGAGTACGAAATAAGTCGTTCTGCGGACTGAAATGATGAGTCATTGCCGATACTCATAGGTGAAACAGCCGGTCCATTATCCGAGAGATTCATCCGACCTATTCTATTGCATAACTGTTCATCTCTTAGCGGACAAGTCTCCTGATCATCTGAAAATCTCTTACAACACTGCTGAAAGTTAGCACCTCCAGATGAGCTCTTCGTAACATTCAGTAAATTTGGTGGCTGAGTATTGGACGATCGGTCACGTGAATGTTCTCTTGTTGAAGGAATCCTGTCCTCTATCTCATAAGAATAACCTGGAACATTGCATGGACTAGGCAACAATCTTTGACTAAAATCTTTCCCATTCAAAAACGACGCCCTTTCAGAGACTGTATGAAATGATTCTTCACTTCCGGAAAATGAACTAGATGAAGCCACTCTTCCACTCACAGAAAAACTATCGAATGACCTGGTGAGACCCTGTTCATTAACCTGTGGAGAACATGGAGTAGCTATTATCACACCTGTGGGTTTAGACTGAAGTGCGGACACACTTCCTGATGATGACGATTTCACTACTTCCTTCATATATCGTTTGGTACGTTGTATATCTTGTGGCTTAACAGGAATATTTGACTTCTGAGGCCTCACCTTTCCTCCTGAAGACATGTTTGGTCCACTAGACATCAAAGATTGGTGTGTTGTTGACGATTTTGGAGTTACATACTGAGGTTTGGCAACATGAATGTTCGGACATTTATGATTCACTGGTAAGTAATCAGAGCTATTGGCGAAGTCCGATCGGGGTTGCGTGGTTGAAGACTTTGTGGCATTCAAGGGCCATACAGGAGATGAGACATCAGAATAATTAACTCCCGAACTTTCTGGCTTGACTTTATTCATTTGGATCGTGACATCATTCCTACCTTCACTCGTATTGCGTACAAACAAACGAGGGTATGGTTCATCTGTACATTTTTTTGTGTATTTCCCAGTCACATTACTAAGACCAGGTAATTGTTCTAATTTCCGCTGCATCCGACCAACAAACGTAACGATGATAGCATACAAGATATGAAATATGCGCGCCTGATAAGTCCAAACACTTGCAGTGGTCAAACAAGCCGATAAGCATTCCAAAATTAAAAATCTTTTACATATTGAGGATGAAAATATACATACATTTTTCTGTTGCAAATTTGTTTTGGATTGTTAACAAACAGTACAACGTAATGTCGTGAAAATAGTAGATACGCATATCATCACGTCGGGCTCACCAATTGTAGCTTGACGTCGATTCGCGGTTGACTATGGTCACCACTACGAGAAGGTTGCGTACCAGGTAACAGAACGCGGTTGGTGTAATGGTAACAATTATTATTATAACCAGTTGTACCAGGGATTGTTTTATCGTACTTGTTTGTTTAACTGTACCAAAACACATACTTTCCTCCATTGATTGCGACCTTGCACAGATCCGGTTACGCTCAGTAATCACATTTGTAACCTGGCACGATCTCGGTATTCTTCGGACACCACGGGATCGCCGAAAAATACATCTCGACTACAGCCAGTAACTGCCTTCTAATATCTGGCTCACGGGATATCTTATCGGTTAACTGGCACGTAGTTCTCCTGTAGTGGTGATCGTAGTCAATCGCGAATCGACGCCACACTATGAAATAACTGCGTTTTGATGCATTACATTAAAGAACTCTAAAAAACCTACAGTTCACAATAATTGAAAATTTTTAAATAGATATGGCATAATAACAGAGAACTTCCAGCATGGCTTCAACTTACCTTTATAACAACTATTCGTTTTGGAGTGAATTTGATAACCTAATATGAAGGATTAACTGAGCACTTATTTATGTTGTGACAACCAGTGGTAACAGTTGAATGGGAACTTGAAACCAGCAGAACTAACTGCTTTAAATTTATCACTCGTCATGTTCTGTATTGTGCATCATGTAACATCATTTAGCACTAAAGTCTCGGTTATTCAGGCAGTTGTTTGCAAGACAACAGTTTTATTAGTATTTATTTCCAACAGCTGTCAACCATTTCAAATTAATAAGACAGCCACATCAGCTGGCTCAATTATTTCCACCAGTGTTCGTGGTCTGAAAGTTCATTGATAAATACTCGAACTCTATGTTTGGTTTCAGATCATTCCAGCTTTATTTTAGGCCTAGGGCCAAAAAACATGGGACGCAAACATCTTATTAGCCGATATTTACATTCATGTTTATGTTTACATCATAATGATGCTCATTATCCACCTTTTTTATAACGATCTGGTGTACACTATAGTATTTATTTACGCTTGCATGTTTAAGTAAACTTCATGGTCTTCTATCACATCTAATCGGAGTAGTCTAACTACTCGGCAACACTAGTGCTAGTGAATTCGTTAATCATCTGATGATTCAAAAAACTTGATTTTGAGTAGTTGAATTTATTCCTAACTCCGCCTGGAGTCCCTCTGGGGGCTACTGTCGGTCCCAAGCCCGGATAAAGGAGGAGGGTTGGCGACCCCATCCCGTAGAAAACTCAGTCGCTAAAAAAAACGCTAACCAGAAAAAATTATTCAAACATTTTGAACTCTGCCCTGGGAGTCAGAAGGTTTTCATTTAGAAGAACTATGACGCTTCATGGGGAAAGCCGAGTTCCTTTGAAAGATACGAGGCCGATGCCTCTTCTGACAACCAGAGCAACCATTTATTTAGGTCCATGGAATGTTCGTACAATATGAGACACCAGGAGAGCCTTCCAACTTGTTGCAGAAATGAGGAGATACAACCTAGAGGTGCTTGGGATCAGTGAAACACATTGGACAACAACGACTAACTTCAGGATAGCTTTTGTTATACTCCGGCCATGAAGAAGAAAATTGATGCAGTCCAAACAAGCTCAAACGGCACTTATAGGATGGGGATCTCATTGACAAAGAATCATCAAAGCCTCCTTCAAAACAAAGAGAGAGGGCATTTCAATGAACATCATCCTATGCTATGCGCCTACCAACGACTACAATGAAGACGCTAAAGATCAATTCTACGATAGGCTGCAGTCAATCGTCGAGAAGTGCCCAACAAAGAACTTGACCATTTTGATGAGAGACCTAAATACCAAGTTTGGAATGGACAACACCGGATATGAAGACATCATGAACTAGGAGAAGTAGACGAAAATGGTGAGAGATTCGCAAACCCATGTGCCTTCAATAAACTGGTCATAGACGGCACTATATTCCCACATAAACGCAGACACAAAACCACATAGACTTCACCGGACCACACTACACAGAACCAAATCAGATCATCACTTGCTGGTCGCAATGAAACAACTGTATGACGCGACAAACAAAACTGTCTGAAAATCGCCGCAAACCAGAACGACCAGTAAAAAGTAAGGAATGCAAGGTAATCACCAACATTGAAGAGCAACAAAACAGGTGAGTAGAACACTTCAAAGAACTCTTGAATCGACCAGCTCCACTGAACCCACCTAACATCGAAGCAGCACCCACGGACCTCCCAATCAATGTTGGTCCACCAAAAATTGAAGAAATCAGCATGGCCATCAGACAAATCAAGAGTGGCAAAGCAGCAGGACCAGACAACATTCCAGCAGAGGCACTAAAAGCAGAAGTAGCGGCAACTGCACGGATACTCCACATTCTCTTCAACAAGATTTGGGATGAGGAACAAGTACCAAAAGACTGGAAAGAAGGACTTCTGATCAAAATACCGAAGAAAGGCGATCTCAGCAAGTGTGATAACTACAGAGGCATCACTCTTCTCTCAACACCGGGTATTGTTAAACAGGATGAAGGACTGCGTAGACGCCCAACTTCGTGACTAACAGACAGGATTCGGTAAGGGCAGATCGTGTACAGACCAAATCACAACTCTACGGATCATTGTGGAACAATCAATTGAATGGAATCCATCACTCTACATCAACTTCATTGACTACGTAAAAGCATTTGATAGCGAGGACAGAAGAACACTATGGAAGCTTCTTCGATACTACGGTGTGCCTCAGAAGATAGTTAATATCATACAGAGTTCATATGATGGATTAAACTGCGAAATTGTGCATAGAGGACAATTGACAAAGCCGTTCGAGGTAAAGACCGGTGTCAGGCAAAGTTTCTTATTCTCACCCTTTCTCTTTCTCCTGGTGATCGACTGGATCATGAAGACATCAACATCTGAAGAGAAGCACGGGATACAGTGGACATCTAGGATGCAGTTAGACGATCCAAACAAGATATTTTAACAAGGGTGCTTTATTAACGTCGTTTGGAAGAGCATTTGGGATATGGTGAACAAGTTATGAACCTGAAATTCTTTACAAAGAAAATATTTTAGACCCTTACCAAACGTTGTAATGTATTTTATAGATTCCTAATCTCAACCTCGGTAAAACTAATATTCTGTCTGTGGTTTGCTGTGGACCTGTTAATTTTCACGTGACAGAGTCGCCAATTGGAACTCTGACCTTGTCCCTGCGCCAGAAAAATATGTGTGCAACCAGCCTTCAGTCAACTCTGAGTCCTTATTGGTCTTCTGTATTGTAGCTTCTAGCCTAAACCAATGATTTTCAGTCCAGAACACAAATATCGGTCCACGCTGTATGATGCATATGTTTCTGACATACATGGTTTATACACGAACAGACATGATCTCATCGTACCATAAAATGAAAGATCATGAGCATACATATCAAGTCATAAGTGGCTGTGGATGTAGGATACTGAAACTGGTGAACTGTGAATGAGTTAATAGTGGTAAATCTTATAAGAGTGGCTGACAAGTCAAACGAAAGTTTATGATAGGAGGAATATGAAAATATATATAATCTAGTTACTCACTAATTATCTAGTAATAATATATGTGATAATGCTTCATGAATAATTCTTAGCATCTACCATTCATCAATTCTTCATTTGGATTTAACACTGTCTGTCAGATGATTTAGACGATTAATAGCATTAATCTTGTTCAGCTTTTTCAATGGAACCAAACCATTACATCTTCCGTGTCGTGCACGAAGCTTCCTCGAGTCCATCACAGTCAACGGCTACACCTCGACCACATCAAAATACAACTTACTGCACAAGAATCAGTGATGTCATTGAGTAATTACTAATGATATCACAAAACGCAACACAAGTAAACATCGCCACTCCATGAATAGGAAGCCCGGTACGAAATGACGCAACAGAAACCAAAGAATGGTTACTAGAATTCAACCTCCGGGAATTTGGGAATGAACAAGAATGGTCCCAACAAAATGGAGTCAAACGTTTGCCTGCCAGTATTGCCCCAAACAACAACCGTGTATAGGACATTGCTAGCGAGCAGTAACAAACAACCACTCTATGGTGTATTTTTTAGTCCGGCCTAACAAGAATTTGTTGTTGACCATTCAGTGTCGCACAACGACGAAATGAAATCACTTACTCGCTTACGCCTATTACTTATATTGAGTAGCATAGACCACATAACATCACTCTCCATCCAGCTCTGAATAGTTCCTACCAGTTGTTTCCAGTTGCTATTCATCTGATTCATGCCTGATTCCAACTGTCGACTCAATGTGTTCTGCATTCCTCTTTTCTGTTTAGCTTCAAGATTTCAAGTTACAGCCTGCCTCTTAATGTAGTTCTATGTTTCCGTAGTGCATGTCCTATCCACTTCCAACATCTTTCCCTAATGTCTTCTTCATTTATGAATGGTTTGTTCTTTCCCATAATAGGTTGTTGCTAGTGGTATCAGGCCGACGGATATTGAGTATCTTTCGAAGACAATTGTCTCTAAATACTTGTACCTTTTTGATGATGGTTGTGGTAGTTCTCCTACTTTCAACTCCTTACAGAAGAACTGTGTTGACGTTCGTAATGAGGATTCTGACATTGATGTTGTCTCACAAACAGTTGCCTTGAGTTCCGTTTGTTCTTCAACTGTAGAAATGCTGCTCTTCGTTTGCCAATCTTCTCTCCTGTGTTTGCAGCAGATCCTCATAGTTCATCCAAAAAATCATGACGAAAACCGAAAAATAACGATCCTGTCAAAGAAGAGTGAGACATGTTAAAATACGGCTAAGAAGGATGAAAATTGGTTGAGTGCAAGAGAGAGGAAGTCAAGAGAAGAATAGTATCGCTTTCAAACAACAGACGTTGGAGTGATTACAACGCATTCACAGAGTGACATCGATGTTCAAAAAGACTTTGTATGTTCATTTGTTCAACCTTGCTAACGAATCTCTTTTACCTTCTAGTCCCTTTTAAGAAAAAATGTTTCGACACTCAGAATTAACCTTTAACATTGATTCTGGGTAAATGTTTTCTCCTTAGTTGTTTGGTAAACATTGAGACGACGACGCACCTGAGCTAACAGGAGTTACTGTCCACTTGGTTTCAAAGTGCCACCGTAAGTCTAACATCTTCATATTTCCTGATTCATTTTACTCCGATAACATTTTCTGAATCCTTGTTTAATGCTGAGAACTTCTTTAAACACTCTTTCATAATTTGATCACGTTAGTGGAATGAGAGGAATTTCCTTTCATATTACATTCTTTAGTATTGCCACCGTCTAGAACTTGATTGCCTTGCAATTCTTTCAGGACTTCCTCAACCTGTGGTTAGGCTTAACATACTCAACTTTCTTAATTTTTTAAGTACTATTCAGCAGAAGTTGAAAATGAATACTAACCTAAGGGGTAACATCCAGAAACTGGAAACTCAACATTGCAAGACGGGATGTAGACACAACTTCTACTCCTTAAGAGTTGTCAAAAGCTGGAATTCGCTGCCGACCAAGCTAGTCCAAGCGACTTCTCAGGAGTCCTTCAAGAGGCAACTTGACCTATTCTTAAGGACCAAGGACAGTATTATACTATGATTTACCAATTTCTTTTCCTCTTTTATTGTTAACATACCTAGGTTCCTGCCTGGAGGATTTGATGATCCCCTGCTACTAGACACGGGAGCATGTTAAGCGAAAGCTTCTTCTATTCCGTCCACAACCATTTGAACCATTTGAAATTGTTGTCTCCAGCTAGTTTTAAAAGTTTTAGGTAGTGTATGCCGCTTATCTCAACTCTTGCGTTACTATGTCAAATGTAGATTTGAAACCTAAGTATGAACCAGGTGGGATTTTCTTTTTCAATATGCATAAGTTTGTCTACACAGGTGAAAAACTTCTTTGCTTCCATGGACCTCTTATGTATGAAGCCAAGTGTCTGGATGTCAAAGTGAAAGAAGATGGAGTGATGTATTTTGTACATTATCAAGGTTGGAATAAGAAGTAAGGATGTAATTAAATTTATTTGTGCATAATAGTTGGGATGAGTGGGTAACTGACAAGCGTATGTTCAAGTATAATGAAGAGGGTTTAAAGAAACAGAAGGAGTTGGAACGGCAAATGTAAATTATGTTCCCTACTTAACGTTTCGAACGGGTTGTAGAAGGTCTGGAAAAGTCAAAGTCTTAAGAAAATCTGACTTGAAGTCACAGTCTTTACCACCTCCGGAAGTTTTAAAGGATGTGGAGCGGACACTGAAGCCTGGTCATTTAAAACAAGGTTGTACTTTCTGGGTTATTTCACTTACTGTTCTTATAGAAGAGGAGAGTCCTAAAGCAAAGCAGTCTAAAAGTAACGTTGAAGCAGATCAAAAACCAAGCACACCTGTGACGACAGAAGTAAAGGAGAGTGAAGATGTCAAGGCACCTTCAAAGCCTCCTGAAGAATCTAACGGTGTGTCCAACATTACTACTGTATCAAGCAGAAGAAGAAAAAGTCGGGCGACATCAGGAATAAAATCTATCGAGAATGTAAATCTGAAAAGCTAACTTTGAAGTCAGGAGGTTTTTTTTGTGATTTTTTGGAACATTTTTAAAACAACTCAGTCGTATGGTTGTTTTGTTTATGTATTCCACAGTGCAATGGCTTACATCCTTTTTTTAGTGTTCAGAACGTTAACTTATGCCTTATGTTTCGATTCTTCATACACTCCCTAAACCCATAGCCCTGCGATTCTGATTCATGTGATAATAAACCCAGTGTTAACGAAGCTGAATTTTCAAATATCTCACTCATCAGTCAGTACATCTGCAATGAAATAAGTTCTGTCTCTTGCAGTATGAATCAGGTTCCGAATAAAATTCATATTTTCTTAGCATTCAGCAGATTCATGTTAATTGCCGAGACAGACTATGTCTCATTCTGTTGTGTGCAGTTACCTATCTAACCTTTCTCTTATTATCTTGTTAGGATGACAGTTTACTTTCAAAACCACAACTAATGGTATCTATACCTCCATCTTTAAAGGCGTGGCTCGTGGATGACTGGGACTTGATTACTCGTCAAGCTCGTGTAAGTCAGATTTCCTGTAACTGTTTAGTAGTCGTATTCCATTTTGTATCGAGGTGTCATTATTTTACTCCAATTTAAAGTGGTTGTCAAATTAAAATCAATTTAAACCTAAAGAGAGGAACTAAGATGTTCTGAATTCATATCACTGTAATAGATCGTCGCCTGTACCACCATTTTCAATGAACGGAAGCATATTTTTGTTAGGTAGTCACATGAACCATCTGATTTGTGTGAGGGCTGGGATACTGCCCGGGTGCCCAAAACGAACCACGTGGTTTTCTTAGGGGGCTACAACCAGAGCTTTCGACCTGAAGGTCTGATCCACAAGGCAGTGGAGTAACGTCACGAGATGCGGTCCCATGGTAGCCGGTGACCAACGATTTGTTCATACTCCATTTGTTCCTTCATAATACTGGAGCCCATGTGCATCATTGGTTTAGAATCAGGGTTTTCCAACTCCCCTAGGTGAACTTTCCATGTCCACCAACCCGGTTAAAGCGCCGAACATTCGGTTTTCGTCTTCTCAATTTTGTGAACAATATCCTCGCCACGATAGGACGGTGAGTAGGACTTCCCTGACAGTAGTTGTATACGCGTTGCCATGTGAGAGCATTTCGAAGAGAGCTGACTTTCTCCACCCACTGTACCAGGGCATTCTGGGGGAAAAGCCATCATGTTTTTATTATATCCTTCATTATTGTCCTGGTTCACTGAAGCATTTGGTCACTCATCTTCCAATCATTGTCACACTTTGTTTTTAGGTTGCATGTTTTTGCTAAGCTAACAATATTTTGAGTCAGCCATTGACTGAGTTTGAAGAGAATGATTTTTATTATTTTGTTAATTTACTTGTCTCTGTAGTCGTTACGAAGTTTGTTTAAACTTATCTTATTTCATTTTACTGATTTGGTTAATTTGCAGCTTTACGAGCTTCCTGCTTCCCAACCAATATCCACTCTTTTGTCTGACTTCTTAGAAAGTGCTGAAATCGAGGTGAAATCTGAACCCACTTCTGAACCTCAAAATTCTCAACATAATATAAATCCTGCAATAAGACCTGATTTAAGACGTGAATTTCTCGCTGGGATTCAGCATTACTTTAATTTGATTATCGGTTCTCATCTTCTATATAAGTTTGAACGGTTACAATATGCTGAACTTTTAAAGCGTCACACAGATAAAAGAATGTCAGATATTTATGGTTCAATTCACTTATTAAGGCTATTTGGTACGTCCTTCAATTCAATGTGTAGTTTTCAAGTTTTTCACATAAATCACTAAACGGCGCTTTGATTTACCATACCATTTGTTAACGAATAAAAAGTAACTTTTGAAAAAGACAAAAATGTCTTCGAAGAAGTGAAGAATTTATCTTAGTTAATTGATTGATTTTATTTATTTGTTTTAGCACGTATATATTGGTACACGGAGGCACCAAATACATATGCGCCACACAAATCTCACTTGATATGTGTGAGGGCTGTGATACTGCCCGGGTGCCCAAAACGAACCTTGTGGTCTTCTTAGGGGGCTACGCCCGGAGCTTTCGACCTGAAGGTCTGATCCACAAGGCAGTGGAGTAACGTCACGAGATGCGGTCCCATGGTAGCCGGTGACCAACGATTTGTTCATACTCCATTTGTTCCTTCATAATACTGGAGCCCATGTGCATCATTGGTTTAGAATCAGGGTTTTCCAACTCCCCTAGGTGAACTTTCCATGTCCACCAACCCGGTTAAAGCGCCGAACATTCGGTTTTCGTCTTCTCAATTTTGTGAACAATATCCTCGCCACGATAGGACGGTGAGTAGGACTTCCCTGACAGTAGTTGTATACGCGTTGCCATGTGAGAGCATTTCGAAGAGAGCTGACTCTCCCCACTCTCGTCGTACCAGGGCATTTGGGGGCGTTCAAATGAATTCATTTAAAGACACTTCTAATGTGTGCTTATGTTTCTGTTATTCTGAATTTAAATGATAAAAAGCCAATCATATCAAGCTGATTTTCATCTTCCAACTTATAAGTCATAAAGTTGCGGCGTGTTAGTGGAAATTGAATCGCTTCAATCTATAGTCAGGTGTAAAATATTTGTGCGCCATATCATTGCGATGTCACCAATGTTGTTATAAATAGTAATCTGCTAACACCCTTGCTATGTTTTTTTATATATGAGGTTATTTGAAACTCATAAAGTTTACATATAAATCTACGGTAGTGGTGATATAAGTTTGATGAGAATTAACTAACTGATTCTTTATATGTTTGACATTTTAATAGTGACAGAGTAATTAGTTTTTCAGATTGTTCATAGTTCCCTTAAATTATTCCATTCTCACTCTTATCATTGTTGTCAAGACTGGGATGTTCTTTTGTTGTTTGCTAGCTCAATGGTTTACTTCTTCTGTAACAACTACACTAACCGATTATAACTTATAGGCTTTCATCAAAGTCTATCCATTATATTAAAATCGTTTATTTTAATCTATTACCTACAAATAGATATGATGGACAACTTATAACTATTTTGGTTTGTATGTGTTTCACTGTAGTCCCAGTATATATTTCTATTGCAGTTAAGCTTCGGGACATGGTTTCTTGTACCAAAGTCGATGTAAATAGTCTACCTGTTCTAGAAGCATTGGTCAACGAATTCTTGCAGTAAGTATTGTCTTTTGGGTCATTAGGTTTTCTTTTATTACAGAATTTATGTATATGTTACCATTATTGCTCTCTCAGGTGTTTAACGTTACTACTGTGAAGACTTACTCAAACTATCACTTTTGAATAACTGGTGCATGCTTTTTTAAAATTTCATAGAAAAGAAGCTTTATGAAAACTATTAACTGTTATTAGAAGAAACTACACCTCAAAGTATGTGCGTATTGATACAGTTTATGTAAAAATAGACAATTGGTGTATATAAAGTTGGAACATACGATGCTTCTGCTTCTTAGCTTCCATAACCTTATATTTCGGCTAAGATGTAATAACAGAAATGAGGAAGTAAAATATTGTTAATAATTAAACGGAGTCAGTTTCAAAAAGCCATAAGGTAGTCATCTGTTTTGGAACAATAATTCCGTTCTTTATTCAGTGGTTTCCAGTCTAGAACTAAATTACTCAATATGAAATATAGATTTCCCTTACTTTCATATAACTTCACCTTAAAGAAATATACACATTGTATGCGAGTCATGAATATATTTTGCTTGCCGAAGCTCAACTTTTTCAGAACCCTTACGCACAAGTCATTCAAAATGGACATTTTTATTGACGGCGCGTCTTAAAAGACTAGTTCAAACTACTCCGAATTATTTATTCTCTGAAAAAGTGACTTACACTAAGCCACGAAACGTCAGAAAATCTAATTTTTCTACTCATTGGGATATTACAAATATATTATTAATTTATACTCCGAATTAGATTATTTACGTGTATATGTTCCTTTCAATCACTACTTAGTTGTCATTGATTAATAAACGTTTGTTTTTGTCTCATACTTTTATGTGACAGATTTTTAAGACAGAATGAAGGTCGTTACTTCCGTCTTGAAGATTACACTGTAGCGACGGCAGAATATCAGCGGAGAGCAATGTGCTGAATACATATTATTCTCATCTACTCTTTGAAAATATGTATATCTTCACAACCTGTATAATATTGTTAATATATTATAAATCGTTTTAATTTTTCGAAATCGTTACTTGTTGACAGATTCATACCTGCAATCTATAAATTGTTATCCCAGTAAACAACTGTTTGATATTTTTGTCTAATTTCAGTTATTTTAGAATAAAACTGAATAACCTTAGTGAAAGTCTGAAACTTTAGGGTGCAAACAAATCTGCGTTCTTTTGGAATAATAGCCGAATACGATGCTCAAGGTTCGGGGTAAATTAGGGTTTGATGGGCATTTCTATCTTCCATCTCGACCAACAGTATGGTGGATATGAAACTCATGGGTCGTCAGTTTCAGTCCTTCAAAACACTTTTTTAGGCATGATAATTTTGAGAGATTAAAATAGGCTGTTCTAACCAGGTCTAAATGTAATGTTTAAATCGATTTTGAAACCACAGGAAATGAAACATCGCTTAAAGATTCACATGGTTTTAGACCAAAAGTCTCAACATTAAAATCTCAAAAGGATAAATGCTACGACGTTAATTTATTTTATACTACCTTACTGATCAATGAAAGTTCAAACATGGTCTCGAATTTTTCGTTAAAGACTGATCAACTGGAGAATTATTGGAAACCGAACAGCACTTGGCAGTTGTTTCTCTGTAGTTCAGGACTTCTGTAGCGTTCATTCACGATTCTACTGGGGACTGGGCATAAGCCTTTCAGAGCTTATTGTAAGCACATTATCTTTAGATTCGTAAGTCGGCATCCAATGATCCATAGCTTCACTCGGTTAACGATATAGTGTAACTATCATCAGTGATACCTATCTCACTCATGGCATAGTCACGACTTCTCATTGTGACTTTAAGAATTTGTATGTAAATTGGTCAGTAATAACGACTAGGGATTGCGTCATGGATATACACTGCGAAAGGATTTTAAACTAGAAGGGAAAGGATCTTCCGACTAAACGATATGTTTTGATTGTTATTCTCAATAACTTTTAATATTTAGGTGTTCGTTAAATATAAGCGTCATCGTAACATCTGGGATTTTGTTTAAAAACTGATAAATTTACATTCCACGGAAAAGCAACTTATGAATGTCCATAGAAAAGCTATCTAATATGAACAGACGCATGAAATCTACGTCACACCTGGTTGACATAACGGTGTCGGTTGTTTCCAGTATTTCAGAAAATGAACATAAAATAGACAATGCAATCCTGGTCCTGAAGACGTCTGAAATGTTACAGCGTTAGCGAGATTTTTTGGGATCATGACGCATTTAATTTATATAAGTTAGGATGAAAATAATTTTTAGTAAATGTAAGGTCAGCGTTATCGTATGCTAATATCTATTATTTTGACAAGAGAACTAAAACCTAAGTAAACCAATGTATATTTAATCCGGGTGATTGGTGATACGTTTTGGGAGTTTAGGTTTTACTTAACATCTATTTCTAAATTCTTAACATACAGCAAAACATTCATTCCCACTAAACAGATTTGTTCGTAATACATTTAAATATGGAAAGAAGTTTTCTCATAGTTTGTATAACAACTGTTTATTATTTTGTAAGAGGTCTTCATTTACGATGCAGAAATAAGGTTGTAATGTCTCATACTTTTAGTCTGCAACCAGTCAAAAGTTATATAATTGTACTCTCTGGTCTTCGTTCATCATTCAGCTAAATTGACAAATTTACCAGGTAAATTTGCTTAGGATTCTGTTTAATTTTAATCTAGTTATGATAGAATGTTACCAGCTATTTAGAGTTGCTCAATAACAATGGTATCAAATTGTTATTTAAATTTGTTTGCATGTTCAAAAGTCATTAACAACTATTAGCAAAGTGTCCTGTGAACTGAAAACTATAATATGTTTAAAAACATCTGACGAGTATTGGAAAATAGACTCATGAAAATATGTCAGGAGATTCTGACCAATTAGTGTAGATGGACTGTATTCACCACGTTATTGCGTGGATTTCGTGTATACTTATTGCTGGGAAATGGCAAACTAGTGATTTCACTTTTTGACAAAAAATGCCTTCAGATCAAATTAATTTCCAAATACTACGCAACTGTGTAGTAACATCTTTGCAAGTGAAGAAAATGACATTATTTTGGAGAAGACAACATAGGTACTATCGTGAATACATAAAGGCCTTTTTTGTCAGTAAGACTTATAATACAGGAGACTGCTATTGCTGTAAAACATGTGCAAGTTTGCCGGGTAAATTTGGATTCTATTCACTTCTGATTGGTATCCGAAATGTTTAATGATGTATAGAAGTATTTTTATGAAAACCACTTGAAAATTATTGCAAAAATCAATACAGTAAGTTATTACGGGGAGAAATATCGGTGTTATTTGGTAAATGGTTTCTTAGTACAGAGCTGATTAATAAAAAAAGGGAATATCCTATTTCATATTTTGAAAATAACATTTAGTCAGGGATAATTTGTAGACTTTGTGTCTAGCTTGGGACGCTAAATTGTTTTTGAAATTTCTAATTTTTGCCATAGTTTACTATTAGTATGTTGTGCGTTGCGATATTAGTTAGAAATATGTAAGCACAGTCAACTGTCAATGACTACCTTGATACAATAAAACGTTTTTACGACGTCTTCAAAGTTATCGCAAAAACCAACAAAATATAAATGATGAGTAGACTTGAGAAATACATTACCAATATAAAAGTTTATTAAGAGGTGGTAATTCCGATTGTTGTGTAGTGAGAACGCTTTTTCATATATTGGGACTGATAATAAGGACTTGATTCAATCCTATAAATTTTTTTGAGAATAGATATTTCACAGCATTAATTGTATAATACTACAGCATGTATTCCAATCATAAGTTTTCAAAGTATATTTTATCAGTGTTATTAACAGTCAGTATCAGGTACGCGTATTCAGTTATACAAGTTGTCCATCAGTTTAGCTGCTACAACTTTGTCATCTATCACAACTTGAAGTGCTTGGATTCCTGTATATTTGTCGCTCATTTTTTCAAAGGATAGATAAATAATAAGCCAAGAACTAAAGTATTTATGATAGGATTTTCCAATATTTTGAATCACAATGATTTGTAACCCTTTTATAGCAACTCGTGAAAATATACAATTAACGTTCCTAATTATTCAATTTAAACAAATTTAGAATAGGTTGATTTATTGAGATACTCGAGCAGTTGGAAAATAAGCGTTGCAAACTTATGAGTTAGTCGCTAATTTCGGTCGGTAGGTTATTAGATGTTTTGTTTAAAAAAATATCCCTTGTAAAACTTATAGTAATCAGGTTACACTAATCAACGTTTATTTAAGTAATATAGTTAATACAATGAATAGGAACTTCAATTATGACATTTTACTGGACAATATTTATTGTAATTCAATCGATGGCTGGTTGATTACAAAATAATCATATTTGAATTCATTTACGAAATCTTAAGAGCTATCATCAAAGGTCGAATGATTAGTTACATAAAAATAAATGATGCCGTGCATAAAGGGAATCTGAATCTGAATTACATTTCTAAAAGTGTTAATAGTTATAAAAAAAAGACAAAATCGTTCCGGTGTTTTGCCCAGTTTCCAAAAAACTATCAAGAAAGAATGGCATAATATAAAATATTAACATGAGAAGTCCTTTGCACTGTCATAAACTAACAAGGGACAATTGACTTATTATTCCTAATATCGTTTAATTAATATAAACTTAATCTCGTGCCAAGTGAATTGCTTGAAAAGTAAGTTCCACGTCAAATTAGTCAGTTTATTATCTAATTTCATACAAATGTGAGTGAAGTGTAAAACAACGATTTTAATAAGTATGTTAGTGATATATATACTTCCAATCTTAGTATAATTTACCCTAAAAGCAAGTTGAGTCCTCACAGACATTCTGACTTATATCATCTCTGAATGAGGTCGTTAACAGTGTGATGATGAATAACGTACAATAATCACAATGTATAATCTAGAGTCTACATTTTTAAATAATTTTTGAATTTCTTTGACAATTTACTGAATGTAAGTAATACTTCTACTTGCTTAGTTTAGGCTCAAAACCGGTAGGTTCGTTTGTTACATTAGTTTCCCGTTTTAAAACTTCGTCACACAAATAAGTGTTTATGTATGTGTTTTCTTCATACAAAATAATTATGTTGTGAATATGGATTTTCTTTTCAGACTAATTAACGACAAGACAAAATCAATGATAAATCGTTGTTTTCCATAAAAGAGTCGTCATTTTAACAGTTGATAGAAAGAAGAAAAAAGACACACACTCTGTAAATACTTCAGGGATAGAAAACTAGCATACTAAGAAGGAAAATTGATAAATAAATGAAAATAAAACCAAATTATTCCAAACCACTGATTCTATTAAATAGTACAGATCAATAGACTATTGTTAACACTTAAGGTTAATCATGATTTAAGGTTATTATAAGTTACTTTTTTAGAATTTAAATCGAAGATAGTCTTGTAATTATTCATATTTTTGGACAAGATTCAAAGAATAAGAAGGGAAAATAATAAGGAATGTGAACATTGGATTATTCTTAATAGATTATAACGTTTTAATTAATAGTTGAATCAAAGCGAATATGTATTATCATATATGCAAAAGTGGTTTAAAGTTGTTAATTTGGTACTCATTGTTGGGAGTCTTTTATATGTCTCCAGAATTCAGGAAAATGCATATATGAGATAGACTAAACTAAGAATGTTATTTAGTGCGGAATATGGTGAAATTAAGATACTAAAGAAATTCACATTGCATTTAATTAATATTATTGAATAACCATATATTTTTATCTTTATAGTATAATAACCATAAAGGGTACTCGTTGAAATGTATATCTCTATTAAATTCCCTAACCTTAAACGTTTTATTGACAGTGAGATTGAAATATATCACGTACTTACGCCTGTTACCACCCATGGAGGACCATAGGCTGCCTACCAGGATTCTCCAACCTACTCGATCCTGGGCTCTCCTTCACATTTGTTTACAAGTGCCACTCATCCTTTTGATGTCTGCCTTCAATTACGGTGCAAGGTGTTCTTTGGTCGACCGCTTTTCATTCAGTCTTAACTATTTCAAGTACGGGACTTGCCTCATGATGCAGTTTAATGATTTCGGCAATATATATCCTATTTACCTATAGTGTCTTTTCCTAATTTCTTCCTCATCTGGAATTTGG